GGGGTTTCACGGGGTGTCCCAGCTGGAGGAGGATGGTTTCTGTCCCATGCTCGTCAGCTGTGCCCATGCCTGCATGAAAAAAACAGGACAGTTACATGTGTAGCCCTTTGGCTGTGACCTAGCAACTGAATTGTCTTCAAAACAAATTATGGAAGAGGCTTAAAATACAAGCCAGATAAAGTGACCACTGTTTCATGCCAAGGTGCTTGCCAAGTAAAGTGGAACACCCTTGTTTAACAAAAAAGCAAGTAAGAAATGAGGATGTTAAACATCTTTTAACATTACCTTTTCTTCTCTATGTGGCCTTTGGTTAAAAGGCAGCATTTTGAAGTATGCCTAACAAGAACTTCAGCTGAAGAGGTGACAGAGCATGTTACCTGTGCTGTCATCACGTAAGATCTAATAATTGCGAACTGGCCCAATGCTGAACAGTGCGTTCTGATCAGGAGTTCTCAGTCATGGGCAGTTAACTTTCTCACAATTGTATTTAATTTTAATAGGAGTTGCTATATATCATCTCAGCTATTTATGTAAGACTTGGCCCACACTGCTGTTAGTGGTGTGATTACAGTGTGAGTAGTGTGTCTTAGCTGGTCTCTGCCTTGAGCCCAACTGCCCTGCTGGGTCCGTAGGCTGGACATCAAGTTCTGCAAACCCGTGGGGAGCTGGGGCAGCTGGGCAGGCCCTGCTGCTGCATCCCCTCGGCCCTGGTCAGCAAGGTGGCCTGTGTCTGCAGCAACGCATCCCCTGCCTGCGGCTGAATTTGTATGCCTTGACTTACTGTGTTTTCCTGTCACCTTGCTACTGCTTTTTCTGTGCTGTACAAGTTCTTAGAAGTGTGCCTGGTACATACGCGTAAACCCTTGCTAAATCCTCGCTTTGGTCTGGCTTACTGCCTGGAGGCGTTAGTTTACAGACGGGTTTTGGTGCCTTTTTTACAGGGGGGGGGGCTTCCTCCTGGAGAGTTTTTCTTCCATACCCAACTAATGCTGCTCTGGAGCTATTTTTGCTATTCTTCTCTGTTCCCTTCTAAACTCTGTGATAGTCAGAGGTAGCAAGTTTTTCCAGGTGTGGACTTTTCATCCCCCGTTCTACAGGTGTGAATACTACAAAACACAGGACTGCAGTTAGGGTCCTGAGGCATTCAGGGACACGCTGTGGTGCGTTGTTCTGGGTATCGACATAGAGGAAAACCATCCTCGAACTAAATCTGCTCTCACAAGTCATCTTCCCTTTATTGATATTCATGTTGCTTTTCTGTTGCCGACATTTGGAAGTGCTTGTCAAGCCTTAGGTTAGGTTTTACACGTAATTAAATAGTAAACTGCCCTCGTTTTTCCAAAGATGCAAGCCTGAGTAACAGCAGCCCTGAACCGATTTGTTCCTTATTCCTTGAACTACTTCAGTGCTTACAAAACCTGCAAATTCTTGTTTGTTGTTCTGCCACTCTTTGCGTCAGACCTGAACACCCAGGGAAGTAACACTGTGGGGTATTTAGTAACGAGCAAATAATCCAGATCACCGCTGGCACCCAGTGCTCTTGGGCTTCCATTCCAGTGTCTCTATATTTAAAAGGGTTATCTGCTTACTCCCAGTGCTATTTGAGAACTCCTTGAAATACTGACTGCTGAAAAGTTCAATGACTTCTTTTGACTGAGCATTAGTGTCGCTGATAAGGTGATTTGCATGCACCAGACGATGTGTGGGGGGGAGCTCTGCCCCCGTAGCTGGTGGGGACGTGGTGATGGCCGGGCACGGCCACGCTCTGCAGTGGTGTCAATGGCTGGGAGCAGCCGTTGCATCATGTCACTGGCTTCTCTCTGGGCTCCGTCTGTCACGTCCTGACTGCAAAGCAGCCCTTCCATAGCGAACTGGGACCATAAAACTCCTTTTGTAATCTACGAGCTGATCTACAGCAGCCAAAATTACTTTTAACCTTCCTGTCACCCAGCCTGGATGCTAAGTGTGCTGCCAAATACAGAAGTGTGCTTTCTGCAGTTGGGTGCAGGACAAGGAGCTTATGACTTGTCCGGTGCCGGAGCCAGTGATACCATTGCCTTTCACAACCCGCTCGCCCTCCCCGGCTTTGGTTCCCTCGTTGATAAGCCGAAGGTGCCGGGCTGCAGTGACCCGCAGGAGCACGGGCGGCATGGCTGGGCTCCCTGCACTGCCGGCGGGGCGGGGGTCCCGGGCTGTCCCCCGGGGTGAGGGCTGCTGAGCAAGAGCATGGCCATGCGGAAAGGGACGGGGGT